AGTCTCAAGGTGTCCGCAAACCTTGCAAGCGTATCTACATCCGGGGCCCATCTATCGTGCGGGTGTGATTGACCTTGTGTGGTATTGGAAGATCTTCTATCTATGAGGGGGTCCAGGATAATATTGAAGTCTCCCGCTATGACAAGGGGCGCATTTGTTGGGAGCTCTTGCTGGAGATGTTGTAGAAAGTCGACTCTTTCCAGAGGGTCATTTGGGTCGTACACACTAGCTATGCCAATTTCCTCCTCCCCTAGCATTGCTCTTTAAGTACACCCATCTCCCGTCATGGTGGTCATACTCATGTGCCAATGGGGTTAGCCTCGACGAGGGGGGGATCAATATGGCCACCCCTGTGGTGGCGCCCGACTTCGCAGAGGCCGAGAAGGACTCATACGGTCAGATCCCCTTTTCCTTTGCTTTATGGGTGGGTGAGTGGGTCAGATGCGTTTCTTGCACGCAGATCACGTCTGGCCAGGTGCCTGCACCTTCTAGTGTGAACATTTTCCATATTGCATCTTTTTTTTCCTGAGAGGCCTGGGCCAGCCCATTGAGGTTGAGTGCTCTTATGTCCAGTTCAACCCGAGTGATCTCCCGCATCCATTGTGGAGGACGTCTGTCTGGAGGGTGCACCCCGGGGTCTGGGGGTGGTGCGGGTGGAGGTGGTGGTGGGGGCGGTACATAGATTGTACACTCCATATTAGTTTGAGCTTGCATGTCCGTTTGTTTTGCTTGTGCGGGCCCCCTTCTTTTTTCCTTTTTCTGAAACTTTTATTCATTCGGCTGCCCACGGACAGGAGGACAATGACCTGAGGGCTGTTAGCGGTCGAGCGGGTATTGGTTGCCGAGGATCAGGTTCTTGTTCAAACTCTTCATCTGATGCTGATTCTGGTTCCTCAGAGCTATCTACTTGTAGTACCCCTTGTTCGACAGTAGCTGCATCACTCGAGCCGCTAGAGGGACCGTACCGGCTGTCTGTCTTACCTCTAACCTCGTGGGGGCCAAGAGATCAGCTGGAATCCTTTGCAAGGTGGGAGGGAGGACCTGGACCACCTGCCCTTCATGGTTCTCAGGATTGCTATGGAGCATAGCTCCGATGTCCTCCACCAGTACTGAGGGCCAGAACTGATTATCATCAGTATACAACCCCTTTTTGTTCCCCATCCTCTCCCTTGGAATCATTTGGTTGGAGGCTGTGTAGCCCACGGTTCTCCTGTTTAGCTCGTGTAGTAAATCGGTCACTATGATGATGATAGTTTTCCCCACCAGACCGCAGTGGATATCTTGCATTTTGTGGAACTGAGTGACTGCCTGTTTTATTGTGTGTTTTGCCATTATCCTCCGGCGAATTTCTCCCAATGTAGTGGAGGGATGATCTCTGCCAGGGATCTGCCCAACGGGACCAGCAAATTCTGCAGTATCCAGTCAGTAAGCTCCTTGAGCTGAGCGCGACTAGCTGCTGTTTACGATGCCCCTCTGACTGGTCTTGTTGCGTCAGTGAATGTTGGCCCTGTATCGATTCCTGTTGCTGTGCGGTCATAGCCCCATTTCTGGTGAGCCCCAGCAACTCCTCAACTGGTTCCATGACCTGGTCTAGTGCAGGATGGACTCCCTCCCTATTGACAAAAGGAGGTACAACAGGCCCCATATCCTGGTCCTGAGGCAGGTGAATGCCATCTGGGGGGTGTGTGGACTCTTCTTCTCCCGTGGGCTGCATGTCGGGCATTGGGAGGTCCTGGTCTGGATGTGTGCCCCCTTCAGTATGGTGGGCGGTACTCACAGGTGAACAGCGGGCATGGAGGTCATCCAAACAGTTGTTATGCAGGTGAGTTCGCCAGTAGCGACTCTCTGCCTGCTGTTGTTGGAGATTTAACGTGTCCAGCAGTCCGAGCGCCTCCCTTTGGATGTGGGCGCTGTGTTGGACACCGAGCAGATGTTGCTGGATAAGTCCCGGATCCTTCTGCTCCTCCCCACCCCCGGCCCCAATAACATTGGGGCCGTTCTGGAGCATGTAAGATTGTGTTTGGAGGTTCGTCATCTGCTGTATTGCCAGATGACGGAAGAGGGCCTGCTGGTCTGGTGTGAGGGGGGCTCCAGCAGGCAAAGAGCATTGGGGGAAGTTCCTGATCGAGAACTCATTTTCTTCCATCTCCGGATCCAAGTCGTTGTCTGTGTTGTCCGAGTCTGATTCAGATGATGCGTCCTGGAAGGGGACGTCTTTCTGAGGCAGCTTCTCCTGCACAGCCATCCTCCGTGCTATCAGCCTATCGCTTCTCTCAGTTCTTCTTCTGGCAGGTCTTGCTCTCTCATCATGCTTTGGTATTCTCGTGTGCCGATCACGGTGTGCGTTGCAACTTCCGTTTGGCCGTTGGTTGTTTGATGTTCCCCTGCTATGCGTACCTCAGAGCAGTGTTGCACACGCCGACCGTCCGCGACCCCTGACTGGTCGGCTGCCGACCCGTCGACCGGTTGGCTGGTCGGCGCCTACCGGTCGGGGGTCGTCGGCACCCCGCAAAAAAAGGGTCCAGAACCCCTAATAACCCCACGAACACCCCCATACCCATCCAAAATATCCCCATACACCCCCCAACACCCACAAACCAGCCCCCGACACCCTCATACCCCCCCCAATACCCCCT